CCCTTCTCCCCGCACAAACCCCTCCCCCCCCTTTGCTCCTCTCCTTGAAAAGCAAAAGAAAAACTCCCTCATTGGTACACAATCCCCCTGCACCTCCCCAAACCCCACGCCCTACCCCCAAATATAATCCACTCTAGACAACAGACTTTTCCATCTGTTGGAAATTGGGAACTGAGCTGTCTTGGGCGTCCACAATCCCATGCTCCACTCTACTGAGACAGAGGACGTGACTACTATCTTCTGAGAGAGAATGATCTCATGTCTCTCACATCTCCCCCACTCCTCCCGATTATTCTTCACAAGATAGAGTAGCCAATTACTGCTCCTTAGTTATAATCAGGAGTTTCACAGGCATTGCTGAGAATTCCACACCTTAAGAAAAACACAGGATCCTTTCAGTTGATCTTAACACTTGATCCACAACATGGGAGTCTATTTCGACTGGAATTTCTGAAATAACTGGAATGACCTGTAACAACCACACCGACCAATAACTTACAGCGGTGATGACGTTCCCGTCATGCATGCTGACTGCTTCCTCCAGGAGCTGTAGCTTGTCTTGTAGGGAACGAAACCTTTCCAGCGAGCAGACCTGGGAGTCAGTGGAGAAGAAAGACCATGTCCTTTATTTCCTTGTCTCTGGATTCTGAAAACCACGTAACAATGAAAGAAAATTTCCCTGGGTATGGTCCCTTTACTGTGATGCTTTGGGTGCAGTTGAGACAATTACAACTCATAGCGGCTCTGTGCACGACAGATCGAAGCCCTGCCTCTCCTGCGCCATCCTCCCGATCTCTGACATGCTTGAGGCCCACTGTTACAGCCACTGTGTCAAGCTCTCTTGTGGAGGGTCTTCCTTTCTCCTCTGACCCTCCTCCTTTCCCAGCATGATCGATCTCTTTTTCCCCAAGGATTGGTCTCTCCTGACAACATGCTCAAGGTCTCATATGTGAGACCAAGGTTCACCGTTTTGCACAGACTAGCTCTCTATGGACTAACTACCAGAGTTTCTTTTTTTTAAAAAGAGCACCCTAGTTTCACTTCCTCCAAAAGAGACTTGTGTGTTCATTTTGCAGATGGAACTAAGTGCAACAGCCAGGCCATTTCGCAAAGTATTTTTACCTTTTATCATAATCATAAACTGTGTATGCATGTTCTAGTTCCTCCACATCTTCTTAACACTTGCTATTCCTAGTCTTTTAACTTTAACATTTTGCCATTCTAGTGGCTTCTCATGGATTTTTAGCAGTATCTCCTGGTTTTAATGCAGACATTTAAAAAAATAAAGATGGAGATTATCTTTTCAAGTGGTTCCTGGCCCTATCTATCTTTTTGTGGTAAGCGTGGCTAAATCTTTCTGCCTATTTTTTACTGACTTGTCTAACTGATTACTGATTCGCAAAGAGTTCTTTATGGGTTCTGGCTCACTGTTAATGTTGGATGTTGTAGAGTGGATTCCCATGTAACAGGGCAGAATGGCTCCATGGGATTTTCTTGGCTGAAATCTTCACGGGAGCAGGTTGCTACCTTTTTTTTCTGCAGCGCTCTCGAAGGAGTTCAAATCCCCAGCAACCTTTCAGTTAGCAGCTAAGTACTTAACTCTTGAGCCACCAAGGCTCCTTTCTACAGTCTCCATAAAATCCTTTATGATAGGACAAGGTGGATTCAATGACCGCACATTACGTACGCTTTACTTGCTGCTGTGGAACAAAATGTGCATGAATGAATGAGTGGGGGGAACCCAATACACTTGTATAAGCTTTCACTCAAACCACAATTTTTAAAAAGTCCTTTATGATATAGGTGTTTTGCAAAATCTTCTCTCAGCTGTGATTGGTTTGGCCATGTTTGTTTTTTGGG